GGGGGGGGGGGGGGGCATGATATGCTGGTGCCCTGCCCATGCCATTGACCCTCGCTCTCAGGCCACAGCCCACCCACCCCCGTCCTGCTGCCACCCCTCATTCCTGACCTGCAGACCCCTGGCCTTGCTGGTGCCCCTCATTCCCCACCCACAGTACCCTGCCCCCTGGGCCATGCTGGTGCCCCTCACTCCCCACCCACAGCCCCCCTGTCCCTGCTGGTGCCCCTCAGTCCTGATCTGCAGCCCCTTGGTGCTGCCAGTGCCCTGCACTCCTGCCCCACAGTCCCCCTCCCCCAGTGCCCCTCACTCCCAAGTCATAGTATCCCCAGCCCCACCGGTGCCTCCCACTCCCAGCCCACAGGCCCTGCTCCCCACAACCCTGCAGTGTCTCTTCCCCCCCACCCCCCACAAACACAGGCACCAGCCCTGATGCATGCAGCTCCCTACTGCCCCTGAAAAGCCCCCTGCCCCCACTGCAGGGGCAGGTGCCTTGCCCCGCTGCAGCCCCAGTGCTGGCAGGCACCCACCCTCTCCCCACCCCCCCACACACACATCCTCTCCATACACCCCTGCCACATACACACAGACTCACATGCCCCACACAGCTCCCCAGACAGTCCCCAAGCCCTGGCCCTCCAACCCCTGCTCCCCATGGATTTACTTGCACCCAGCTACTGGGACTGCTCCTACCACCCTGCCTGGCTGCATGCCAGCCACGGGAGTGTACACACACACACAGGCACATGCACACAGTGCCCCCTCCCTCCATTCACCCTCTCCCAGCTCCCCCCAGCCCCAAGCAGCTCCTTGCTAGGGCAAGCTGGGAAGTGCCAGAAAGACTTTGATGCTGAGCAGAGCAAAATCCTGGACTTTTGTTCATATTTTTAACAACTGCCCAAACAGAGATTGGAGGAACCAGAAAGAGGACATGTCCAGGAAACCCGTATGTATGGTAACCCTAAATAAAGTCCTATACCTGTTGGTAGACTCAGGGCCTTTAGCTTCAGTATTTTGCTTTTCCTCTATCATTTCTGTCACATCCAGCTGTGAGGCCCCAGCAGCAAAGGCCCACAAAATGCTGCAGTTTGGTTCATGACACATTTTAATTTTGAATTGGGAGAGCACAGATTTTCACAGTAGGTTTCCAGAGTCCCAAGGTGGGAGTGCAGATGGAGTAGATTTGCTTTTTGTTTTTGAAATCTAGCAATTGAAATTGCTGCTCCTTGGTCTGAATTTCTGTAATGCACCTCGCAGACAATCCTGTTTGTGGCTGGGGCTGCTGTGTCCCTTGCCCTGTAGGGAAAGAAATGAGAAACTATAGCAGCATCTTCTCTGTTTTCCTTGCAGGCTGAACTCTGCCCCGGTGAAGGGCTTTGAAAAAGATGTGGGTGGCAAAACCACTCTGCGGATTACCTACCCTGAAGGAGCCATCCAGAAAATGGAGCAGTACGAAAAGGATTCCCTCTTTGTTCTGGCCGGTTTCAAGTGGCAAGATTTCAAGTGGCTGAAATACATCGTTTACAAGGAGAAAGTGGTAAGAACATCGCTAGAGTGAGGGGAGCGGGGCAGTGGTAGGGGGTCAGTGTTGCGGCTGAGCCGCTGGGTGAAATGCGAGAAGTGTGCCTGGAGCCATCCCCTCTCCCCTGTCTCCCACGAGGCTGCCTGCAGAAGCAGCAGCAAGCTGCAGCTCAGGCAGCATGGGTCACGGGCTGCCTGGTGTTCAGGGAGTTGTTCTCTAGAGCAACAGTGGACATCACGGCTGCTGGAGGGGAACGTTCACCCCCATTTCTCGTGCTGAAACCCACATCAGGAGGACAAAAAATTGCTGGTTTCAGTAGCAAAAAAAGGGGGGCAGTTTCCCCCTACCAGGAGCCAACTCCACTGCTGCTCTAGGGCTGCGGTTCTCAAACTTTTTTGTACCAGGACCCATTTGTAAAGACCAGTGGGCAGTCCTGACCCACTGCCCCCAGCTCAACCCCCAGTGTGTGGGATATGGGGGGCCCAAGCAGCTCCTTGCAGGCTGGAGCTGTGCCAGCCTTCAAGGGAAGATCCATGGTTTCCCACATTTTTCTCCTTTAAAGGAGAATCCATTTTTAAAGTTTATTTGCAACCCTTTCACATATTCTTGTGACCCATTTTTGGGTTGAGAAACACTGCTCCAGAGAACTATGGTTTCCAGACCACCTTGCACCCCGTGACGCACATTGCCTGCATGGCTGCAGTGTGCAGCCAGGACATGCAAGCTGAGCAGAGAATGGGGGAGTGAGCTGCCCCTGCTCCCCACTTCTGGCACCCTGGGCCCATGTCCACTCCCTGCCCCACGCTACACTGGTGTGAAGATGCCACATCTGCAGCTGCGCAGGGTTCTGCCCATCTCTGCCCATGCACCTGCAGTTAACTGAACTCTTTTTTTCATACCCTGGACCTGAGTGCCAATGAAAGGGCCTTTCCAGTGCAGCTGAATGGATAATGTTTTTTTCTATCCTGGTGCATTCTGGGCTCATACCCAAAATGAGTGTTAAAAACTTACAAAATCTTGTGCTATAAACAGAGAGAGAAGCTAATTGCAGAGTAGTCCCACATGCTGGGTGCCAAGTAGCGTGTTTCATACATTCCTACAGCTTAAGGCCAGGGGGGACCCTAGTTCATCTGATCCAAACTGCAGTACATCACAGGCCATTACATCCCACCCAGTGGCCCTAAACTGAGCCCAAGCATGAACGCGTATCTTTAGGGAAGGCACCTGGGCCTGAGTTGACACATCAAGCCCTGGTGAAGCCACCATTTCCCTGGCTACATTTTTTTTCCCCAGTGAATTTTGCTCATGATTTTCCTCTGCTTTGGCAGCTAGTCCTTCTAGCCAAGCCAAGCCTGCATGTGGGTATCCTACTGCCTGGGTTCATCTTTAGTTTGGACCAGATGGAAAGTGTCCACCCATGGTTGCTGGCCCATAGGCACCCCATGGCTCCCACTGCAGTGGCTAATTCATCTTTCTCTGCCATAATGCAGTTGCACATAGTGTTACCACGTGTCACCATCGTGGGAGGAAAGAATTGTCTGCATTTTTAGACACTCTAGTGATGACTCAAGAATGTGTTTATCTTCCTGGAAACCTGCAAATACTTCAGCTGCTTGTTTGGCGTCAGGGCACAGAGTCTTTCCTTGTGGTGGGGAAAGGGCTGAGTTCATGGCTGTGCAGGGGAATCTCTTCTGCTCCCTTCGTACCCCTCACACAGAGAAGCCTGCACAATAGCTCTCTGATAGCTTGAGAAATATTAGCTTGCTTTCTGATCTACAGCAGATGTGGAGACCTCTCTGCTGGTTTGGTGCCTTGTGTGTCTGGAGAGTATGAGGGGATACTAGCAATTCAGCATGTGCAATGAGAAAACAGTCTGGGAACAGAGTAACATGCAGCTGCCCTGTAGATGGGCTCACGGTGCTAGAATTGTAGACAGTGCGGGTTGGAAGGGACGTTCAAGAAGTCGCATATAGTCCAACCCCTGGCTTCAAGCAGGACCAGCCCCAACTACATCATCCCAGCCAAGGTTCTGTTGAGCTAGGACTTAAAAACCTCCAAGGATGGAGAGTCCACCACCTCTCTAGGTAGCCTGTTCCAGTGCTTTACCACCCTCCTGGTGAAAGAGATTTTCCTAAGATCCAACCTCAACTTCCCCTGCTGCAGCATGAGCCCATTGCTCCTTGTCCTGCCATCTGCCCCCCCTGAGACCAGTCCAGCTCCGTCCTCTTTGCAGCGCCCCCTGCAGGGAGGTGAAGGTGCTATTCAATCCCCCTCGGTCTTCTCTTCTCCGGACTAAATCAGCCCAGTTCCCTCAGCCTCTCCTCACCAGTCCTGTCCCCCAGCCCCCAAACCATTTTTGTTGCCCTCCACTGGACTCTCTCCAATGTGTCCACATCCCTTCTGTACTGGGGAGCCCACAACTGGACACAGGACTCCAGATGTGGCCTCCTCAGTGCTGAATAGAGGGGAAGAATCACTGCCCTCCATCTGCTGGCACCGCTCCTGCCCATGCAGCCCAGGATGCCATTTGCCTTCTTGGGACCAAGGGCACACTGCTGGCCAGCTCCTTGTCCCCTGTCCCCCCAGGTCCTTTTCTGCAGAGTCCATGGTCCGGCTTTGACTTAGCTCATGCTCTCAGCTTTATTTAGTTCAAGGGTACTGTGTGAATGATGCTGACGATATGCCTGAGAGTGGGGTTGAATGGACTCTGAAAACTGGAAAGGTACAGTCAGAACTAATCCTCTCATGTTCCCTTTGTGTTGCTTGTATCACACTCTTGTCCCTGCCACTGGACAGGAGTCTGGGGTTACACAGCAGAGCCTGATATTACTCTTCAGCCGGAGCATGTTAGTAGGAGATCCCAGCATATAGTAGGAATCCAAAAGGGAGAATAACACACTTGTGAAGAGGTGAAATGGCCCTTGCTGCCCTGCCACAGCACAGCACGGTGACCAGCCTGGCATGGGGTTGAGGGTGTCGGGTTCAGCATTTTTTCTGCAGAATGCTTCAGGGCTGGTCCTGGCAGCCTGCAGAGGGGAACGGTCCAAGAGCCGGCACTGGGTGGAGGAGGAGGTCTGCTGTGGTGGGGATGGACCTTTCTCGAATGACAGAGCCGGCAGCATGGAAGGAGTGGAGAGTCCTAAACTGCAGCACAGAAGAGCGGCACCTGGATCCATTCCAGGAGGCTTGTTCCGGGCCTGTCTGAGCAATGCTGCCCATCAGCAGTCTCGTTTGTACACTCCTCTCCTGACCAGCACCAGCATCCTGCCCCTCTGCCGGGTGCTCCACCCAACCGCCCTGCCCAGGGGAGAGCAGTGGCTTCGTTCAAGGAGCTGATCTCTTGCTACTGGCACCAGCTGAGCCACTGAGCATGTGGGGGGATGGAGGATGTATTCAGGGAGGGGGAGAGACCTGGGATGCAGAGAAGTGTCTCCTCAAGTTCAGCAGTGACCTTTCTCAATCCTGATTTTACCCTGACTTCCTCTGAAACGTGGGATCTATTTGAGTGCATTTCAATAGGGGAAGATATTGGTAGGGACCCTCCAAAGTGAGCCAGATTCCAGCACCTTTGCTGTGGTCAATACAGAGCCCAGCCTTGCATTCAGTTTAAAAGCGGCATGTAATTCACTGGAAGAAATGGCAGCTTCAGAAGATGAATGTGGCTGTGGGTCAAGGCTCCTGGATTGGGTTTGTTTGGGGAGTTGGTGATTTGGGTATTTGGTTCCAGACCTGGGAGACTTCGGTTCTGGGCACGCAGAGATGTGGCCTTTCCCCTGGGCTGCCGCCTGGGACACCAGCCATTCTCCCCTCCGTTCGTTTCTTTTGTTTGGGAGAAGCTTGCAGGAACGGGAACGTTGTCTGTCACCATTGCTTAGCACCTTTACCTGAGGTCCCGTCATCCCCAGCAGCAAGCCAGGGTGTTGTGAGCAGGATGCTGTGCTTGGAAGCAGAGCTGAGGGCATTGAGCCCTGGCTCAGAGGAAACGTCCCACCACAAAACAGAGCTGCTGTAGAAGTGCATGTGTCCTTAAGTAAAGTGGGACGAGATATTCGCACCCTGATGGGGAGTGTGTGTAGGAGTTGGAAACTGCCTGGACGTGACCCAAATTCAGTTTGTTCTTGAGACATCGCTGGCTCCGAGGCAGGCAGTGGGACTAGGCTGCCTTGCACCTGCCATGAGCCTGGCCATGGGCCTCTTGCCGAGTGATCTCACCAGCCTTGCAAAGTCAAATGGCATTGGTCTGGAAAAGGAGCGGGTGGAAGCTGATCAGAGGTTCATTGCTAGGGTCAATGGGCTCTCCCTGCAGCTGAAAGGGATTCGCTTAATTTTGTTTGCTCTTTGGCAGCACTTGTGATCTGGAGGGAGGGGCAAGCAACATGTGCCACTTGGAAGGGGAAGGTTTTCAGCTGTAATAAGGGAAAAAATCGGGGTGGTGCAGGAAGGGGATCACCTGAGGTGTGTGGTACAACAGTTTGCTGGAGATCTGCCGAAAGTCTAAGTGACTTAGGTGAGGTCATGGGTGGACACAGGACCCGTTACAGTACATACTAAACAGGAATGTGGAAAGCCTCGCTGGAGCCTAATCAGGACTGAACTAGGAATATCTGGAAGTTCAGTTCACAAGAAAAGAGATTCAAGTTTTAATCTGCCATGGGTCATCCATCCAGAATATTGAGGGCGGAGAGAAGCGGGTGTTTAAACAGAGCAAGGCTGAGGAGCTTAGCCAGAAACACGTTCATGAAACTTAGGAGCTCTTTAGCAAAAGTTTCACTAGAGGCCCAAAATATCAGGATCCCATCATCAAACAAGAGGACAGCTTTGGCTACAAGCCCATCGTGGTCCAGTGAAGGCTGGAATTGGAAATAAAGGGCAAACGGGACAGAAGGGAGCCACACGATCGACATCAGTGAGAAGCTCCAACATGTAGAAAACTGAGGAGGAAAACAACATCTGGGAAGAGTGTGTGGCTGACAGGACCAAGGACTGCAAGAGGAGCTTTTTTCCAAGTCCATTAG